ACCCAAGGAGGAGGTGATTAGAACCTCCCCTCTATAGCAAGTTGTCAGAAGCATGGGTTATCTACAAGGGCTTGTGACTAGAAAGAAGAGGGCAGTCTCATGGACCTAAGCCCTTATATGTGGGGTCTGCATTATCTCCAGGCAGAGAATGTAAGATTTGAGTTAAATTGTAGACACTCAACTGGTGTTGCAGAGAATTGTTTGTTCTGAGGGAAAACCACCATACATTTGGTGACCAGAGGTATCAAGTGAAGTGCTACCTGTGAAAAGTGAAGGAAACATACAGGGAAAAGTGCACAGGAGGGGAAGAATTGAGTTTTCTGACTTTTCACAAAATTGATAAACTGCTTCCTAAGATCAGTACATGTCAAACATTATGCTGTACATAGAGGGACTAGGCTGAAAATCTCCACATGTGTATTCTGCTGTTGTAGCATTTCCTTTGTGTGTGTGCAAATTTTCCTTAAGTTAATATTATGGGTGTGTTGCAAATTTGTTACTTGAATTTAATGATTCCATTAATTGCAGTGCAAAATTTCAGCTGTGTGCTATTTGAACGCACTTGAACTCCTTAAATGTATAAAGATCACACTTGATAATCAGGAAACATAACCAAATCATATGCATAAAAGAAGTATCTTTTATTAGAAGTAACTACTGCACATGAAATTAAAATATTAACAAGAAGATGGTGAAATTAAAAATATAAAATACGATGATAACCCAGCTAGGTATGATCAGTGAGGCAAAGATTAAGGCATATTCATGTAAAAGCAATTGATATACAACAAAAATTGTTTTTCATATGACAGTGTCATATATAAAAATAGGAAATAAAATGTAAATAGAAGGAAAGGGAGAGCATGGATATGAAGAACGTTGAACTTATTCTTCAGTCTTCTCCCATGGCCAACATGATTAACAATGAGAAAGGGGGAGAAATGAGTAAGTATACTTTTGCTTTCCCTGTTATTGAAGGACACTCTTTCACATCCCCCTGCTACTCCCCACAGCTCCCTTTACCTTAAGTTTATTTGTTCTTTTCTATATTGACTCTTGATTCCAAATTGATTGTTTTGTTATAAAGTAAATTTGTATAAAAACAGTTGATTTAATTATTGAATTAAATTATTAAGTTATTTTTGAGTGACTTAAGTTTGGGAAACTCTTCCCTGACAGCCCAATACCGGAAAAGCATACTGTCAAGTTCCAGCTGTCTCTCCTGGCTCCATCCAGTGCTCCAGCAGTATGGTTTCAGTTTCCTCATTCCCAGGAAAGGGTTCGTACCAGATAGGCAGTCTGCAGACATCCCTCCAGCTCTAATTTATTAATTCTGTGTAAATCATTATATAGGTAATGAATTTAAATATCAGGACCAAACATAATGTGCAATATCTCTAGATATCATAAAATACTCAAAGATGAAAACACTGATTGTGTATTATGTGCTGACTTCTCTAGTGTATTGTAGTTGTCAAGTCCAGAATGTTAAGCCTTAGCTGCTTATTTAAGTAATTGCTATCCTACTCCTTAGGGGTCTTGCCAGGATTTGATATCCTATTTTCTTTCTCTATTTATTTGGTTGTTTTCAATAAATACCATTTCGAAGTGGCAATTGTACATTTTCAGTCACACTTATCAAACAGTTGTGGATTCTCTGAGGACATTTCCTAAATTTAGCCAAATAGGAAGTATTGGATAGACAGATGATGGATGGATGGTAGAACAAGACCCCAAAATTAAATAGACATTAAAAGGATCGATGACTTTTAACACATTTTCAAGTGTACATTTACATTGCATTTATTTAACTTAAAGGGAGAGATCCTCTACTGCTCTTGGGGTAATATTATTTCTATTATAATAATTCTTGATGACTTTCCATTCTTTGAATTAAAACTGCATACAAAAAGATTTTTTTTTATTCCTTTCTCTGGTAAAGAAAATTTCAAGCCCAAGATTATAGTCCCTACAATAAAATCAATTTTGTCCTGAAATATAGTATTAAAAACTCTTAACAGTCTCTCTGTTTCCTTTGATTATCTCATAAACAACAGGAGTTTCATTTCAGTTCCCCTGTCTCTTCCTCTTCCACCTGTTTTTCCCCTTTTCACTTTGTGCCAATCACAGGTGGATGCTCAGTATCACCCCACAGCTCAAGATAAATAAGCTTGGAAGGTTTCCTAGCAACATATTGTTCTGGGAACCTGCTCTGTTTCCCTGAACAGGATGAGCCAAACATCCTAGAATCTCAGCCAGATGGAAAAGGACTAGCTTATGGAGGATGTTTAATGCATTTTGGGGAAAATTTCACTTTGAAATGAACCTCAACATAAGTAACAAGATTGACTCTTAAAAAGACACTCTTAAGAGTTTTGTTTTGTTTTTTTTTAAAACCTCATTAATAGATTGAATTTTTAAAATAGTGGTTTGAGAAGAAGCTCTCCAAAACAAGACTATAATTCAGCCCTTGGTGAATAGGTCCATTTTAGAACCACGTAGAAAATGCTTCCACACAGGTCTGGTGTTCAGCCTGGTAACTGTTTAGTTGGAAAGTAAGTGAAATACCTCTGATCCTATGCGTAAATGCCTGCTGGTGTAGGCCACCTCCTCACACGATCTCCCACTTTCCCCCTGACCTCTACCCCTAAAATATCCATGAAAATTTGAAACTCTGATAGTTCTTCCTTTTTTTCCACAGCGCCAGGTGACTTCACAGCTACTAATTTGCCACTTCATCTTGACACTCCTTTTTTGATTTTCAAGTGTGTGATTAATACATACAGAAAAAAGAAAACTAGAGAAAATCAAGTACCCTAACAAAATCAAGAAAAATATTGTTGCTTTTACTAGCACATAATGGTGTGTATTTTCCTTGTTGTTTATCTGATGATCTTGAAGTTGCATAGTTGATCAGTGGTACTTTCTTCTTACTGTAGTCTGGTGAATCACGGTGTACCCTTGACAGTCTTTGGAAATGAAGTAATAAAGGATTAGAGTTTCTCATGACAATAGTCAGCAATTGTCAGCAGTTTTGCAATTCAGTTACAACCTAGAAAATGTCCGAACTTCTTCTTTGACAGGGAGACTTTCTTGCATTGGCCACGGGCATATTGTCATCAAGTAGTTGTTGAATGATTTATTGTCTATGAGGTTTGGACCGAGTCTGTGAAACTCCACAACTGTAGTGAGAAGCAAACTCCGGCACTGTGGAGTGCCCCTAGATTAGAGTAAAGTGGGGCAGGAGGTTTGGGGTTCCTGTTTTTTTCATTTAGCAAATTTTTCAGCAGATTGCAGAGAATTGAAACTATCTTCAGCCCAGAAAGTGTGAGATATTTTTATATTCTTTCTGGGTACTTTCTGTTCTCTCTTGCTCTCACACATATACATGTTTTCTAAATACCATATTTTAAACTCGAGAAGAAACAAACTGTTGAGGGCCTCTTGTGGGCCCACTTCTTCTGTAGGTATCATGACAGATACTGAGGGACATCAACACAGCCTCCTTGCCTTTACCAAGTCCTCAAGAATTCAACAAAATAACACATTCGTAAATTAGATAATTGTAAATGAGAAACTTTAGTCATTGTAGGACTTAAACATTAAGGAGATTGATGCCTAAAGGAATTATATAATTTTGATTAACCAAAGAAAACCTGAAAGTAGACTTAACCTGTTTTATGAAACAGAATAGATTATGATAATAATCAAGATTTGATTGAACACTTTTTAAAAAGCAATTAAAACACTTACATGAGGGCCTCCCCTGGTGGTGCAGGCGGTTGAGCACAGCGCTGTGAAGCTGTCCATAGCCTCTGCAGCACTGGTTTGATCCCGGCTGGCAGGTGAGGGTCCCACATGGTGAAGCAGACCTCTCCTGTCTCGCCCGCTGCTCCCCTCAGCAGTGTATTTCAGTCAGTCTGCCTGTTCTGTTCCCCACTCTGTCTCTGGTGAATCCTCTCACCCTCCCACACCTCTGGCCTGCACCCCGATTCTTGTATAGATAAATAGATAAATCTTTGGGGGAAAAAAAAGAAAGAAAGAAACTCTTTAAAAAAAAAAAAAACTTACATGAACCAGGCATTATTTTAGATACTTCACTCATGTCATTTAATTCTCTTGACAACCATTAAGAAGTAGAAATTTGCTTCCCTGTCATTTTACAGATGAACAAATGCAGATTAAATGCCCATTTTCCAAGGGTTTATATGGTTCATAAATAACTAATAGACATGCAGACTCTGCTCTAGCTAGCTAATTCTGTGACCTTTATTCTATGCTAGACTTATTTGTTTACTTTTAGAATTCTAGGATTCTATAATAGTGTAGTTTTTTTTTTCTCCAGAAAATAGTGGACTACTGTCTTTTATAAATGATGTAATTTTAGCAAAAAGTAGATGAGTGGTTTAGATGATTATCTGTTATCTCATATAACACAATTATCCTGTATTTGAGTTTTCAGTGACAAATTTTTAGAATCCTGTTTCTCTTTGATATATTAACACCATTAAAAATTTTTTTTGTTGCTCAATTTCTTATTTTTATAAAATAATAACTTATTTTCACCATGGTAGAAGGCTATGAGTGAACTTTACTTAAACATGGTTAATAGAATTAATAGCATTGTTAAATATATTAACAAGAAAAAATCATGACATACCAGCAAAATTGTAGAACAGAAGTGGACAAACTGCAGCCTGTTTTTATCAATAAAGTTTGTTGGAAAACAGCCATTATTCTTGTCTCACCTGTTGCAGCTTTTGTGCAATGACCAAGTTGAATACTTGTGACCTAGACTGTGTGGCCTACAGAGTCCACGATATATACTAAATAGACCTTTCAGAAAAAGTCTTTAGATGCCTGCTCTAATCTGGATTTCTTCACCTAACTTTGAGTTGGGTGAGTTAGAATACCAGAGACTGAGCTGGGAAACACATGAGAAAATGTTTTCCTGAACAATGTCCACCTTGTCTAATAGGCTTTTCCTCTAATCCCTGCAGGTACCAACCAAGAAGCTGAAGAAATATGAAAAAGAATATCAGACAATGCGAGAGAGTCAGCTGCAGCAGGAAGACCCAATGGATAGATACAAGGTATGGGAGATCTGGGTCACCTGTCAGGGCGAAGTACCTTCTTTACCCTAAAGCAGCAATTGTAGCAAATTCACTTCCCTCTGTTTCTTGATTGACTTAGAAACCCTCTGACCATGCTAAATGTCCAGGAGACTCCTGAGTCGCCAACCATAATATTTCTTTTCTTTCAGTTTGTATATTTGTAGGTAACTCCACCTGTTGCATTTATACTGGGAATCTTCATAAGAAGCTGAAAGAGAGGGGAAAAGAAAGAAAGTGGCTATCGACTACTTTCAAAAATGAGGAAAAAGAAACATGGCAAAGTACTGTTTTAGCTGTGCACGGTCACATCCTCAAAGACCTTTAGAAGGTGAACTGTTCCAGTACTGGCAAAGAATGTTTCAGACTCACCTCTCTCTGTAGAAAATGTTAACAAAACAAATTCAGAAGGAAAAATAAAAACCATAATGGTGTATCAGCACAGTAATGGTGTTTGTCGCAACATTTATTTCCACAACAAATTTACGAGTAATAGTAACATTTAACTATAGTCTGTAGTTTTAGAATCAAAATGACTTCAGTTTACTATCTTAGTTAATTTTAGTATTTGTAAAAATCGAGCATTTCATAAAGATAGATCTCTTCAATGGGAATTAGAAACATGATTTCCATGATGCAATCAATGTTGGGGAAATTATCTCAAACTTTCTCCCCAAGTACATATTATGTCTCCCTTCTACATGTTTTAATTGTTGGGATTCCTACTGATGCATAATCATTCCCTCTCTTTGTCAGTATTCTAGGGAAAGAGAATATCTTAGTTTTACATTGAGCATCACCATGCTTAAAGGCCCTGTCAAGAAAAGCACTGGAGTGGCTTTATTAATTAAATTGCCTTTAGTAGGATGACTCTCACATTTGTATCTAGAATTGTCTTTATGTGACCAGAGAGCTGGACACAGGCAGCTGTGCACACACAGTTTGCTCACAACTGTTGCTGAATTGAATAGCATAGAAGAAGGTTCACAGAGGGGCTTGTAGATTTTGTAGTTAGACCTGAGTTCAAATCCTGGCTTTCCAAAACAAAACAAAACCAAAAAAACGCACAGGATTTATAATCCAAGTTAGGGGTTTAACCCTTGTGCTATCAGTTTAGCATCTCCAAGTTATTGAACCTCTTCTTCATCTGAAAAATAAATATTTCCTTGATGGATTGTGGTGAGGGTGAGAGAGATGGTATGTTAAGTGCCCGGCATAGTGGTGTTCAATAAATGGTTGCTATGAGACTTATTAGGCTTACCACCTTATGTTACCCAAGTATTACAAGGATAATAATTACTTTATGTGGGTCTGTCCCTCTTGTCCCTCACAATCCTTCCCTTGTATTGCTACCCATTCCAACATCTGTATGTTTCTCCCCTTGTTTATAGAGCTGGGTAGAGAACTGCTATGCTAGGTAACTGTTAACACATAAGGATTTCATAGAATAATTTTTGAAGGTCATTTCTATCACCATCACCACACCTTAATAAAACTAGTTTTAATGCGGCCCATGAGTGTGCTGCTTTAGAAAGGCTTGCAGTAATAATACAAAGGATTATTAAGGATCCAAAACAAAGCCCTCCTATTGCCCATTTCATTCTGATTTTCTTATTGCTACCATTGCTGTGAATAAAATCTAGGACAAGTGCTTTAAAATAGAAAAGAGGGTAATCAAAGGCTAAAATTATATATTTTAAATCAGACTGAGCTTGAACTTGTTACTGTTTTTTTTAAAATTCTTTTTGTGTCAAGGCTAATATGTATAAATAGTATAATGCATATTATTTTTTAAAAAATTTACCATGCATAAGACTATCAATATGTACAATTCATCATATGGGGATTAAAGTAGAATTAAACTGTTTTTGTTTTGAAAATAGATGTTACTTTTAAGTTTGTATGTTGTGACCTCTTTTATTTGTGCATATTGGGTACCCTCTGCAGCTATTAATTTTGTATTGTTTTAACAGCTTGTCAATCATCTAACTCATAACTCTACCTTTTTAATACTCTCCAGGCATTTATACTGATGATAGACTTGGTGAAGTTTTGGTCCTCAAATTACAATTACATTTTCAAAGTGGCAGTTGACAACTTAGTTTCCAACCATCAGCAGATATTCAATGTTGAGTTTAATTATCTTAATTGAAGTGGAAAAATGTCTTAGAAAGTGCATTTTTGCATCTTCTAATTTAATCCTGTCAAGAATAAAATCTCCTTCCTGGGATGTAAAATTCATAGATTTTGGACTAGGAACACAGTCATGTAAATTCTTCAGAATAACTTGGGAAGATCTTTGGGAGCCTCAAGTAAAAACTGGCACCAGCTCACTGATAACCTCCTCAAATTTGGGATCCACTTAAAGTGACACTTTCCTCCCTTGCGTGCCATATGGCATGGGAGTTAGGAAGGTGTGGAAATTTTTTTTAAAGGCCCAGAAATGTTGTACGGTAAGATATTCCAAGAGATTTTTTTTATTTGGTGATGTTTTCCTCAGACATGGTAGTGTACAAAACAGGTTGCTTCAGGGAAGCCAGAGGTGGGATTAAAATTTATCAATTAGGAGGTAGCTTTCAGCTGACACATTCTTGCTATATCCATCTAAACATATTTGTGTCTATTTTTATGACCTATGCAAATATCTAAATTTCCAGTTTATATCACTATGTTCATGATATGTAACACTTATATCTCACCACAAAGAGAGACGGAAATAATGTTAGTATAAAGCTAAATTTTAAAACCCTAAACATGAGGAAAATGTGCTGGTGTTAGGTCAATGGTGATGGTTCACAAGCGAATGAATATACTAACACAACCAAATGGTACATTTTTTAATAAGTTGACCTTGGACCTGCCTGGTGGCACATAGGTCTCTGCACTATGAAACGATCAGCAGTCACTGCAACAAGAGTTCAATCCCCAGCCAGGGAGCTAACCCACATGGCGTAGCGGACCTCTCCTGACTCGCCTGCTGCCCCTTCAACAGTATATTTCAGTCAGTATACCTGTACTGCTCCTCACTCTGTCTCTGGTGAATTCTCTCACCTCCCCCTCCCTGTACCTCTGGCCTATACCCCAACCCTTGTATGCATAAATAAATAAATCTTTAAAAAATTAAATAAAAATACTATTCTCTTTTTAAAAGATTGAAAAGTTGAACTTTATAATATGTGAATTGCATGTAATAAAGCAAACAAACCCACAGACCAAACAGAATGCTCATAGAGGACTGACATCAAGCCCACTGTCTTCTATTCATGAACTCCAAGTCACATGAGAGGTACCTGTGCACTAGCTGTACCTGAGGAAGTGCGACCTTCCTATCAGAATTGGAGCTATTGAATGACTATAGATTCTATGTCTACCAATATTTATAGGGGAAAGGCCAACATAAATGGGTGTGCATTCATTTTCTGTGATGCCTTTAATGTTGAGACATATATACCATACATGTATGCATGCACATAGACATAAACATATAAATAGGTAATACATATGCCAGCTGGTCTGGGCATCAGTTTGTATTTGAAACTCAGGTGTCCTTAAATTATTGCTTCAACCTTTGGTGTCCTCTTTCTGTTTATCTTTGTGACTAGGTTCCAAGGGACAGAAAGGAAACTTTATTGTAAGAAAAGAATAGAATATTTATTCTAAGCCTCTTTTATTGTTTAACTTAGACCTGGTTAGAATTGTGTAGTTATGTTTATCTCCCATGATATTTTGATTTGTAAATATATTAATTGATTTCAAATTAGGAGTAATGCAGAAGATTTGGCTGTAGAAATACCTCATGTACCTTTTCATTTTTGCAAGTCCCCAGAAAATACATTCATGGAAATGTATAGCTATTTTAGTACATTTTTGATAACATTGGTATCCAAGCCCCTAATGAAGTTATTAATTTCAGAAATTAAAATATTATTTATTATTTTAAGGAATGAATTGTTTCCATTTGGAGAAAGTTTTGTGTAAAAAAAAATTTTGTACTTTTTAGAGAACAGTAGCCTTCATCCACCCTTGGAAGGTGATATGTTTTTCTAGTTTAATTAAAGAACTACTTGCACAAATGTGGGTTAAGTCGATAATTAATTAAGTTCATGCTCCCAAGGCATAGTGAAGATTATGTTATTGCCTATTCTAGAAGGGAAATCCTGGAAAGAATCAGGACTGCTTAAATTCTCTTGGGGTTGGGACACAGATAGTAGTATATAAATACATAATTTGTAATTGGAATATCTTATCCATGTTCAGTATAATTAGATTTAAAATGTTCAACTTCTTTCTTGAGGTAAAAGATAGTAATTTTTTTTATTAAAATCTAATTCAAACAGAAATGATTCCTCTACATTTACAAAAGTTTTCTTGCACATACTCATTTTTATAAAGCCCTTCTCTCTCCTGAAATTTTATTTTTTTTAAAGATTTATTTATGCATATAAGAACTGGGGTACAGGCCAGAGGTGTGGGGGGTGAGAGGATTCACCAGAGACAGAGTGGGGAGCAGAACAGGCAGACTAAGTGAAAACACTGCTGAGGGGAGCAGTGGGCATGTCAGGAGAGGTCTGCTGCGCCATGTGGGTATCTCCCTGACTGGCCCAGAATTGAACTCATGTTGCAGAGGCTGTGATAGCTTCATAGTGCTGTGCTTAACCCTTTGCACCTCCAGGGAGGCCACCTCCTGAAATTTTAAATTTATCAGTTTAATAATATGGAGTAAAAAGAATCCAAACAAAATATTTGAGGCACAGTTTGACACCTAGGACATATGTAATCAAATAATTTTTTAGCAATTATCACATTTTATTTTTTAACTTGAAGTTTAAATTGTGCTAAACTTCTTACCTGGGAGGGGCAAACATTTCCCTTTTTTCCCTCACTGTTGGGTTTCCCTTACTTAGGAAAGTCAAGATAAGTGAATTCATCTTTGAAAATGTTTTTCTGCCACTGAAAATTAACTAACCTTTTGCTGTTTTTTC